CCCATTTAATGTGCTTCACACATTGAGATATTTAAAGCTGATGATTGACCAAGGATCCAAAAAGAATATCTTTATGCGCCCAAAAAATGGTAAGCCGTCTGCTTTTGGAACCAACCAGTCAAATCTACAGTACGCACATTTAATGCAGTTGTCTTATTCCTCCAACGGGAAGACAACCCTAGTATATAAGATACACCATGAAGAACTACCCGGACAACTTTTGCTCTCTCTACAACATTCAAAAAGATTTCTTGAGATCTGAATTTCATCTTCCTCAACAAGAAAAGCTTACGTTGGAAAAGATATTTTTTCCACATCTTCCATATCCAACCAAGAGCAAAGTTCCTACAGTTCTTCAACACTTCAAGCACTTCAACTACATATCTTTTGTGACGAAGCAAGTTGGAGAAAATCATGTTCTAAACAATCTTCTTCTAAAGAAGGGCGTCTTAAAGTAACTGGAGTAGTGAAGTGAGGATACTTCAAGGAAACTCAGTGAAACAAGACCCGTCTTAAAGGAAGCAAGGAAGTGCATCCCAGGAGACATCTACACTTGAAGAAGATGTGGAGAGCTTCTTAAGTGCTAGGGCTAAAGCTGTGTAATTGTTTTTTTACAAGCTTAGTGGAACAGTGGATTAGAGGAACGAGTTGTTCCTTTAACCACTATAAAAATCCCCTGTGTCATTTACTTACTGCTTTTACTACTTGCATTCATCCTTAAACTGCTTAACTCCAAAGACTTGGTCTCTGTGTCCAGCAGAACACGTCTTGTGAGTTAACAGAAGACCTATTTCTTTTGCACCTCTGTGAGGCTAACCGGACAGAACCCCATTCGCGGCCAGTCTGTTCTTCAACAGAACAGGCTATTCTGTCAAACTTGGTACTTAGCTTGAAAATGTTAAAAACCAGAACAATCTAGTCACCCCCTCTTGTGACACCGCACCCGAGCGTCCTTGAAATTCAAATTTAAATGCAAAGTTTATGCATTGAATTTCCATTTACCAAACAATTGTAAGACAATTGTTGTTTTATGTAACACATGTTTGATCATTTTACCGTTGAGCTTGTATATTAGTGATGGGCTTCAAATACTTATTTGGGGCCATCTTATTAAATATAAGAGCCCAACATTACGTAAATAATGATACATAACCTTTTGATACAAATTAAGGAAGGTCGGGCAGCCCAAACATTATTTTGGACCCAACTGCTAAAAATAGTAAGTATTCAAAAAGGGCGTCCGAGGCCCACTCGAGGGTGACCCACACGGCTTGTAGTCCATGAACATAAATACAAAAGTCACAAATAAGTGATAGGATGATTTGAGAAGAATACAAATGCCTATGACCCCATCCTTGACATTATTGAACTAAATAATGGGAGTAGGTTTTTCTTCTATAATATTCATCATGTAAATTATTGGGATGATCATACACATATTGGAGATAAATAATATGATGTAGAGAGTTGACTTGTTCTAAATAAATTAGAATGAGTACAAAAAGACATCTTTTGACAAAAGATAAAATAATAGGATCCATTTTTTCATTTTTGGAAGTATCGGTAGATATTTTGGACCCCAAATTGATTGGGATCAATTGGGAAGCACTCCACATGATTTGAGTACCTGCAAGACAAGAAAAATAAGTGAGGAGACTTACCTTGGCCGGACAAGCTGGAGGAGAGCTGCACAAGACTTGATTGGAATCAAACTTGAGACCCACCTTGTCAATTTCCGCACAAATCATGGGTGTGGTTTGTCTCCCTCCTTAAAGGGAGTTGTACTCGTCCAAATGAGGTGTATAAGGTGTCCTTGGATAGAATTAGAAGTATAGTTTCATTATTGAGTGGTTTCTGAGCGAGAAGAGAGAGTCTTACAGTCGATAATCGAGGTTGAGTGAACTGCTGCGTATAAACTCGAGGAGTGGGAGTGTTGGTATTGTTTGGTCTATATCTCGAGTTATGTTAATCCAAATCAGGCTTGTGAGGTACCTGCGGATAGACCTCAAGATAAGGAATCCGTCAAGGTCTGGTTTTCATCAAACGGAGTAGTGGAAGGCTTCCAAATCTTCCGAACAAAACACAAACGCGCAGGGACGGATTTACTTCTCTAAAGTGAGTTTTAACATCCAAACCCTTTCTTTTCATTTTCCAAATGTTATGAACGATTGGTGGAACTATTATACACTATTACTAGTGTATAATATGTCATTATAAGGCCATTTTATTGATGTAAAGGTTAGATGCTAACCTAGAACAAACCTTTGGAAAACTAGGAAACGAGTTCGCCGGAAAACACCCATTCTAGGGGCTGTTTTCGTATCAACGGTTAGGGGTTGAACTAGCACTTTGAGTAGGCTGTTTAACACTCATTTCTAAGCAAGGAATCAGTTCTTAATCCACCTTGACCGAAGCTTTGACCATTGGATAAAGAAGGAAAGGTTTAAAGCTCAATTAAGGTGAGGATCGACATCTAATTGCTTACAACTTGTAGGTTAAGCATGAGATTACCTAAATGCCTAAATCATGATTTTTCATGGATTATGATGCCTAAATATTGATGAAAAATGGATATAGTTGACAATGAATGAAATTGTAAATGATTTGAGGTTGTATGGATAATATGAGATTAAATGAGTTATTAATGAACTATTTTGTGAAATAGGCATTTTACTCATGTATTAAATATGTGGATACATAAATGGATACTTTTGTATTGAAGTTGAATATTTAAGTTGCTGCTACATACTTATAAATATGTAGAGAATTACAAAATGAGGATATTTGTATGATGACAATAATCTTAATAGTATTGAAATACTAGTTATTGATTATTTGAAATTGTTGATAGAATTGATCCTAAGTATTGGATTGTATGAAATGCACTTGAATGTACTTCAAGTGTATAAAATGACTTAGTATGAAGCTAAGGGTAAGTTATGGGCAGTCATTAAGAATGACCCAAGGTAGATTATTGAGATATCAATTCTAGGCATAGGTTTGCTTAGGAATTGGACTATAATGAAGAATTAGACCCGGACTCTATGATTGCATGGAAACGTAGTTGGGCCGAGCCCTTGCCATGTAAATTGTGATTCACATAGAAACGTAGTTGGGCCGAGCCCTTGCTATGCAAATGTAATATGATGTACTTGACATAAAGGATTGCATAGAAATGTAGTTGGGCCGAGCCCTTGTTATGCAATGGTAATGTGATGAACTCTATGAGTTGTCGTGACTAGTATTCACGTGGAATGGGAAATGGTGATTTCTAAATAAACATGGGCCTACGGGCCGACTACTTGACTTTTATATAAAGTAAGTATATTTTTAAATGGGGTAACTTGAGGTTACAGTCATATTGTACTATCACCCTATTTGAGGGTCTTATGTTTGAAATACTTGTTGTATATCCCTTGGATGCCATCCACACCAGTACTTTATAGCCCTATAGAGTACTGACCCCTTCGGGGGCGTCCCATCACCATTTCAGGTTGAGGCTAGAGCTTGCTTCCTGTGCTCGTTGATCGAGTGATTTCCCGGAGAGAAGACTTGGTTCGTGCTTCCTCCATTCTGATTTGAACACTAATAAATTTGCTCATGGATATTTTACTTTAGAGCCTGTGTGCTCATGTTTGCCCCGTGTGGCATTTGATTTCAAACTATGTTTTCCGCTGCGTATTAAATTACTCATTATGTATGTTTATGGATGACTTACGTGTGAATGATATTCATGATGCCTTGTATAATATGGATGTGTTTGACTATGGTTGACTATTCGTATTGTACGACGGGTTGTTGACGTGTCCGGGTAGGTCCGGGGTGTGACACCTCTAGACTGTTCCTTGTATAACCGGGACTAACACACTCCGACCTCGGGGGATGAGTCACCTGTTCAAAAGTTTTTACTTGCTGGTTCAAACTACTAACCTCGGGCGGCGAGTTAAACTCTTCTTAGAGGCCTAGGGTCACGCTCTTCCGAGCAATTTTGTCACTTAATTGACATTCACATTTCCCGAAAAGGTTGATTTACTTTAGTTCTTTGGGGTTAGATTATCTGTTCGAATGAGGAGTCCGACTCACTTACTCGCGGATTCTATCTTTCTTTCAGAGGCTGGGTTGAAGCGTAACTTGGGAACTTGATGTCACTCTTTTCGAGTAGTGAGTCGCACTCACTTACTCACTGAGTCGTGGTTCGGCACTAGGCCACATGTTCTATTCTACACCTATTGCTTTTATGTGTAGGTATGACTGAACAAAGACGAGCCTGATGAGTCCGAGCTCGATGAGAAGAACGGTTATAGTCATCCTCTTCACAGATGACGACCATTGCAATAAAGGCTGAGGATTTCACCTCTTGCTTCATCTTGGGGGCGTCGGGTGTACTCTTTTTCCCTTCATTTGGATTTTTTCCCATTGAGTTTTTTCCTAATGAAGGTTTTTAATGAGGCATCTCCCCGACATGGACAAGAGCGTAAATCTTCCAGTCTCGGAGAAGAGCAACTGACTTGGACTACTCCCTCTTAGCCGAGTCTACTACTTGACTAAAGGAGTGTTTGCAGTTGATTAAAAAAAGCACTTTTCAGCTTTTGGCTTAAAAAAGTTAAAAAGAGTGTTTTCAAATGACAGTTTCTGCTTAAATTAATCACTTAAAAGCTAAAAGCTGGAAACAGGTGGAGGGGTGCTTTAAACTGCTTTTCACTTTTTCTATTACACAAAAAGTACTTATTTTACCAAACACTACCAACTTTTACTTTTTCAGAATCACTTTTTTCTCAAACACTACCAACTTTTACTATTAATCACTTTTCCCCAAATCACTTTAAAAAATCACTTTTTTAAAGTTGAAGCAATTGCAAACACTCCCTAAGGGAGTGGGGGACTCGTGATGGAGTTATGGGACTAGGCCCAGAGCCTAGTTGGCCCAAGCCCCGAACTTGGACCGGTGGATCCAAGTCCACAACATTTGCATCGTATCCAAGTGTGAATATAATGTACGATAAATGTTTAGTCATAACTTAGATAGTTAGATCGATACACATGTTTTAAACAAATATTGAATGAACAAATGTAGTTGCTTGTTACATTGCCACCTGATTGCTATTATTATTAATACTCGTACTATATTGTTCTCGTAATACTATATTTGCCATCGAAATTGTGCAATTTCATTCTGACTCAGAATCAGAATGATATTTGGGGAATGGAGCGACATCTCCGAGATCTTTGAAGCCACCCGCATAAAGAAGTAAAGAGTCAAGTTTTAGACTGAAACCCGAGTGCGTTGTATTGCCGTGTTTGCGAAGATCCAAGTACCATTTAAGTTGTTCTTGACGCAGCCCAACTTCTTCTATCCTGAAAACATGTAAAAGTTATACCCCTTTGTGGTTTTTACCCTGATAAGAGTAAAACATGTCATTTTTCTTCAAAATAGGACCACTTAGTTTAAACATTCTTAAATAGGACTTTATATGTGTGATTGGACCAAAATACCCCTATTGTTGTCCCCCTAGTTGGTTAAATACGGTACGGGAATTAAACGGGGTTTAATACGTACGCGTTTTATTCGGTAACATGAATGAAAAAACGGTCAAAAATTCGTTGAAAAAAACGTTGACTTTTAAAAAACGTGTAAATATGTATACATGTATAATACGGTATCTGTTACAAAAAATTCGGACTAAAAATACGGGGTATTATTTTGAACATTTAAATTATATACTTCACAAAAATAACATATATAATAAAAAGAAATAAAAGTATACACATATTCAAGTAGCAAACCCCATCACTACATATAAGAACAATCCGTAATTGCATAAGTCGACAACAAAAATTAAAAACAGTAATAAATTTTAAGACATAATTTTGCAAAATAATGTCAAAAAATGAGGTATAATAACAATAGAATGAGGCTAATTTGAAATCATTATCTTTATATGATCATCAAATAACACTCAAATTAAACTTATCATTTCCATCAAGATGATGGATGACATATGAGAAAAGTTGTGTGACTGCTACGTTTATTATTGTTTATGTGTAAAAATTTATACTTAAAGAAATGTCAGGTTTAGAAAAATCTTTAATTTTGATATGCTTGTTTGGAAAAATATTATAAATCCAATAGTATTTCACATTTTATAAAAATTTAAAACATTATCCAATAGTACTGTAACAATACAAAAACACAAAATCACGAGGATGAAGTTTTCCTTTTTTATTTTAAAATATTGTTGATCTTCTATGCATTAAATGCATTCACTCAATTGATTAGTTCATGTTTATATTTTTTGTAAAATACGGGTAAATTCATTTTATATGGGAAGTATAAGTTTTTTTAAACGGACCGAAATTAATTTTTGTTTTAAACGTGTTTTTTTTGCTCAAAAAAACGGTGCGTATTTAAAACGCGTTTAAAAAGCAAAAAAGCTAACTACGGCTGTCCCTGGACTGCTGCCAACTGCCTGCCGCCGACCACCACCAGCTGTCGTCGGACTGCCGCCAGACCACCGGCCGGCCACCGCCGAGCTGCCGCCACCACCGGACTGTCCCGCTACCAACGAACTGCCTTGGTTGTGCAAGAAAACTAGGGGGGATTAATTGGATTAATTAATTGCCGGAGTTTGCCGCCGTTGCCGGAATCCGCTGCCGACCGGCTGCCGGAGCGCTGCCGCCACCGCGGACTGCCCCGCCACCGACAGACTGCCTTGGTCGTGCAAGGAAACTAGGGGGGGAGCAATTATTTAGATAATTTAATTAATTAAATGAAAAATTGAAAATAATAATCCCAACTTTTGCCGGTCCGCTAACAATAATCCAATTATTGATTATTTTTGTATAATCCCAACTATATGGACCGTCCGCCAATAATGGTCCATGACCAGATATCACCTCCTACAACAAGTGAATTTAAATAGAAATTAAGCGTAAAAATTAAAAGTTGGGATTATTATTATCAATGTTTCCTTAATTAAATAGAATTAGGGGTAAAAATGGTAAGGTTAGTCCTATTTAGGGAAAACCAAACATTAAGTCCTATTTTGGGAAAAAACCTATGTTTTTGTCTTACCCATGTCAATTTTCTGTTTATGAATTAAATGTTTAGTCTAATAAATGTTTTACGTAGGAGGTGTTTGGGAAATGAAGTTTAGGCAAAAAAGGAAAAAGACGGGTCGACCCTTTTAGCGTTTTCAGTAAGTGAAAACGATGTTTGGTAATAGTTGTTGGGTCCTAGCATTTTTGGACCGAACTGCTGAAAACCAAACATTTTTCTGCAACCGCCAACTTGCTCCGCTACTCAAACCTACTTACTGAATCTGTTATTAATAACCCGCTAACACAATACATGAATTGCTAGATGTCAAACATGTCCGGAATGATTTTTGTTTTCCTCTACGCACTCCAATTCAAAAAATTGGGGACTGGGCCGACTGGCTGACTAAAGTCACAATTGCTTGGTCCGGCCCTGGATTAGGCTTACCTGGAAATAAGAGTATCCAACCGTTCCTCGCTTTGACTGCCGCTTAGTACAAATCCTACCTGAATGGTGTAATTTAATCTCTTAGTAGTAATTATTTAATTAATTAACTATTTAATAAAGGAAGATGATCAGAAGCAAAAATAGAAAGGTCAACGCATTACATGTGGAAAAAATATATCAAACGATGCAACTGTTTTTCCATCATCATTGAGGCGCACATGAAAGGGTTTTAGTTCTTTGGGATGATCATATACAATGACTGGCCGTTTATAGATGTTCGTAACTACATGCCTGCAAAAAATGCATCATTAAAGACAATACGATATATGTCCCCAAATTTACCTTAAATTTACCTTACCGGAGCCGCCGTGCGGCCTCCACGTTTTGAGGGCTTTCCCGGTGGAATTTTTCGATGAAAATTTTGGAGCATGTTCTTCATCAAGTCTAGTACATCCATACCAAATTTCAGAAAAAAATTCAATTGGGAAGACAGTCAAATGATTTTTGGAAGATAATTGTACCCTTTATATACATATAAAACACAGTTTTCTTCCAAAAATCGTTTGACTGCCTTCCTGATTGAATTTTTTGCTGAAATTTGGTATGGATGTACTAGACTTGATGAAGAACATGCTAAAAAACGTTCATCGAAAAATTCCACCGGGAAGTCCCTCAAAACGTGGAGGCCGCATGGCGGCTCCGGTAAGGTATACCTTACCGGAAGTTTTTCCTATATATATATATATATATATATATATATATATATATATATATATATATATATATATATATATATATATATATATATAGTAGTCTTCCTGTCAGGACTGTCCGGAAACGGACCTCCGTACGGACCTCGACATTTGGGTCCCTACCGGTGGAATTTTTTGATAATTTTTTTGAACATGTTCTTCATCAAGTCTAGTGTATCCATACCAAATTTCAGCTAAAAATTCCATTCGGAAGGCAGTCAAATGATTTTTGGAAGTTAAGCGCGCACTTTATATACATATAAAATGTAGTTAACTTCCAAAAATCATTTGACTGCCTTCCCGATGGATTTTTTAGCTAAATTATATTATGGATAAACTAGACTTGTTGAAGAACATGCTCAAAAAATTGCATCCAAAAATTTCACCGGGAAGGGGCCCAAACGCCGAGGGTTTGAGGTCCGTACGGAGGTCCGTTTTTGGAGGTCGTGACATGAACTTTCCTCTATATATGTATACATATGTTTCTCAAAATAGAAGTGAATATATACTGATTTCCGTAAATAGAAGCATTATGTAGTACTGTATGTTTTTTTCTTGAAGATGAGCAAAATGTTGTCATCTCCAACATGTTTTCAAGAAGACAATACTTACTCAGAAAAAAATATAACTTCAATTTTTGGAAGCACCTTTATTTTATTTCTACTCTTTTTTAGTCATTTTAGGGTAGCTTCTTAATGAGATTTAATTTGGTAATTTTATGCCGTAACTTTTTTTTGTGCCCGCTATTAGGATGTTTTCTTTTGGACTGTTTTCAGTCCCAGACCAGACCAGAGCAGACTAAAACAGACCAGACCAGACCAGACTTCCGTAGTTATAAAATACACAAAGACCAGACGTTTACCAGACCAGACCAGACCAGACCAGACTTACACAGACCAGACCAGACTAGCAAATTTCAGTCCAAAAGAAAACATCCTTAGTCTGATAGTCTTGTAACTTCGCTCATTTTCAATAATTAATAAATTTGTCCACATTAAATTGTAACTTGTCCACCATAAATTACAATTTTCAATAAAAAAAAGAGTTCGAAAATGTCATGGCGTCTAATTTTCCGTCACAAATAGTACTACGTAACTTGTAGTGGAAAAGTCTTAGGATGTTTTTACTTGGACTGTAATTTGTCCCAGATCAGACCAGTCCAGACCAGACCAGTTCAGACCAGACCAGAGCAGACAAGACTTGAATAGTTATAAAATACAAAGAAACCAGACCTTACCAGACCAGACCAGACCAGCAAATTACAGTAAAAACATCCTTAATGTTGACACAACTATTAGTTACAAAATCTAATATGCAATAGAGTAAAATTACAAAGTAATAATGGACGTTTGCATAAAATGCGAGACTAAACCTACCATTTCTCCAATTTCTTATAGATAAATTAAACTGTACGTACTAGCTAGCTGATACCTACATTAGTAAGCGGCCTTCAATAAGGACATGTCCAAATTCCATAACGATCCCTAGTTCTTCATTGATGCTAACCTGTTTACAATATCAATATATAAAACACGTAAAAATGTTTTATATATAAAAACAGTAGCTATATCTACACATGCATATAGGGAAGAGTTCAAATAAGGAACCTTAACGTCTAAAATAAGAATTAATCTCAGCCGTCTAATCTGTCAATCTGATGCACAATATCTCAATCTAATGCACTTTCGAAAAACCATTATCTAATGCACTTTTTGCATCAAATAAGGTATACTTGGAAAGTGCATCTGGTAAGATTATTGTGCGTCAGATTGACAATTTGGACGGTGGAGATTTATTTTTTATTTTTATACGTGAAGACGTTTTTTTAATTGATAGAAATGATGTAATAACAACCGCATTCATATCTTCCAGCAGTTTGCGATAAGAAATTCGCTTGAAGGAAGACGACGTGACGAGCTGGAGCTCCTCTATAAGCGTTGTGGCGGTTGGTTTTGATAGAAACATCACATCCTCAATGCACTTCTCTAGAATCCATTTGCACATAAACTTCAAAAGGTCTTCTGCACAGTCCATGGCATCCTACAAAATCGGAAAATATATTAGTAACATTGCCCGTTTCACGAGCTTATTTGGCAAATGACAAAATAACAAGCGAGGTCTGAGCCCGTTTTTGTTTGAATTGAGAAAACTAGAAGAATATGATGAGTTTAATGTCGTAATTAGCCTTTCAACGTTCTCCCTCAAACAATGGAATTAGCAGCGTTTCACGCGTGTTTTGGATAGAACGCTGATATCCAAACGCACCCTTTAACGTTTCTTCTCATACTAAGCTACTCGTTTTATATTAGAGCTTGTCAAGTTTTTTACGGGCATGTTGTTGTGGATCCGTTTCTGTCTTGCCGGATTCGGCTCAGGTCGCCGGAGATCGGTTTCCGGTAGTCTCCTTGTGCACACCAAGGCTAAGGGAGCAACAACCTATTCTACCTTCTCAACACTCCTCTTACTCAGCTTCACAAAGAAGAAGTTCTCACAGTCTATTCCAAAAAGCTTCAAGAGGTGGTGGATATATACAGCTAGAGCAAGGAAGAAGCAACTGTCGGTAGAGAACAATAGCACATGAAGTAGGATGCAGGGAAGTCTCATAATAAAGAAGATTTGGCTTATTAGCTCAAGGGATTGGACGGTACAAGGGACAACACAATCACACACCTCACTTATTTGATCTCACTTATTTGAGTTCAAATTCAAACGGGAGAAATAGACTTGGTACAAAACAAGTTTGGTAACTGGAGTAAGAGTAGTGGGTTGCTGAATAGGTTGTCAACTATTATTAATATACAAAGTCTATTTGGGCCAATAATATATTAACAATCTCCACCTTTGGCCCAAGGTAGTGCACTGAGACAATTCACGGAACCGCGGACTCATCATTGCCGAATTATTACAAGTATTATCGCAAAGATTATACAAGTAATATAAGAGAATACCCCATGTATTCTCGGATCACAAAGGGACAACACACCAAGCTTGCCGAGTCCATAAAGGACTTTACTCTACCAAATGGTCATCGAGTTCGAAGGGACACCAACACCAAACTATTAACAAACACTAGGTAAGTTAATAGTAAACCGATGCAACACAGGAAAAAATCATCCAAAATCAAAATTTAAAATCTTTTGACACGAAACAAATTTTTCAACAGGTAAACATTTAGTACCCATGTCAGCAGGATTAAATTCTGAAGGAATTTTCTCTAATTTTATAATTCCCTTTTCAACAATATCTCGAATATAATGAAATCTAACATCAATATGCTTAGTCCTATCATGGAAAACAGGATTTTTACACAGTTGAATAGCAGATTGACTGTCAGAAAATATGATCACATTTTTGCCAAGAAAATTAATTTCATGCAAAAGACCTCTAAGCCAAATAGCTTCTTTGAAAGCTTCTGTGGCAGCAACATACTCAGACTCAGTAGTAGATAGAGCAACAATAGGTTGAAGTTGAGATTTCCAACTCACACAAGAGCCACACAAGGTAAACACATAAGAAGTTGTAGACTTTCTATTATCTCTATCATTAGCATAATTGGAATCAACATAACCAATTAATTTAACACCTTCAGAGCACTTAGAAAAAGTCAAACCAACATCCACAGAATATTTCAAATACCTTAAAAGCCATTTCAAAGCATTCCAATGAGGCATTCCAGGATTAGACATGTATCTACTCAAACAACTAACCGCATATGCAATGTCGGGCCTAGTACTAACCATGAGATACATGACAGATCCTATAGCATTCGAATAAGGCACATTTTTCATTTCATTCATTTCAGTTTCAGTCTTGGGGGACTGATCCTTACTTAACACAAAATGAGAAGTAAGAGGCACATTCACAGATTTAGCATCAGACATAGAAAATTTACTCAAAACCTTATCAATGTATGATCTTTGATTTAACACTAGAGTAGATTTCTTTCTATCCCTAGTAATGCTTATGCCTAAAATTTTCCTAGCATCGCCTAAGTCTTTCATGTCAAAGTTTTCACAAAGAGATTTTTGGACATGCTCAATAGACTTCAAACAAGGACTAACAATTAACATGTCATCCACATAGAGTAATAAAAATATAGGCGCGGAGTCAATATTTTTATAATACAAACAATGATCGGCGGAGCTCTTAGAAAATTTTAAAGATTGCATGCACTTGTCAAATTTAATATTCCATTGCCTAGGTGATTGTTTTAAACCATACAAAGCTTTTTTCAACAAACACACATGGTCAGGCAATTTAGGATCAACAAAACCCTCAGGTTGGTGCATATAAATATTCTTATCAAGATCACCATGCAAAAAAGCAGTAGTTACATCCATCTGTTTTAATTCCCAATTAAAATGAGCAACTAAAGCAAGTATAATTCTAATGGTGGTGAACTTGACAACAGGAGCAAAAATTTCGGCATAATCAATTCCCTCCTTTTGAGTAAATCCCTTAGCTACTAATCTAGCTTTAAACCTCACATTTTCAGATTCTTGCTTCACCTTAAATAGCCACTTACAATCCACTAAGGAACAACTAGCGGGTCTAGGAACAAGTTTCCAAGTTTGGTTAATTTTAAGGGATTCCATTTCACTATTCATAGCACTAATCCATTCTTTGGAATATTTAGACTTTAAAGCCTCTTTAAAAGTCCTAGGTTCATTGCATTCAAGGGATTCAAATATGTTAAAGGCAAACTCAGATATATCACAATTAATCAAATTGCAATCCCTATATCTTTCTGGCTTCCTAATAACCCTTCTATCTCTATCCCTAGCAAGGTGATAGTCATGCAAATCATCATTTTCAGGAAAAACCTTCTCATCATGCATATCATGCTCCACCTCATTCGAAGTACTCTCACCTTGATTTTCAAGAACATTTTCATGCAAATCATTTTTAGCAGAAAATTCAGATTGAAATTTAACAGGAACTTGCTCCACCTCATTAGGAGCATCATTATGAGGAACATGCACAGGTAAAGTCAAACAAGGAAATTCATTTTCATTAAAAATGACATCTCTACTTATAACTACTTTAAACCCTGGTTCACTCCTATCCCAAAGCCTATAACCCTTTACCCCTTCTGGGTACCCTAAGAAAACACACTTCTTAGATCTAGGTTCCAATTTATCAATCTTTTGATGCACATAACCCGCACATCCAAACACTCTTAAGTTCGTCAAATCAAGCTTCTTGCCCGTGAAAACAGATTCTGGGCACTTCCCTCCTAAGGGGACAGACGGGGACCTATTAATTAAATAAGCAGCGGTATTAAGCGTTTCCCCCCAAAATTTCTTAGAGAGACCAGATGTGGCCAACATGGCCCGCACCCTCTCTAAGAGAGATCTATTCATCCTTTCAGCAACCCCATTCTGTTGGGGTGTGTAAGGAACAGATTTATGTCTTTTTATACCCCAAGTAGCACACAAATCATTCATTTGTTTATTACAAAACTCAAGTCCATTGTCGGAAATAAGTTTTGTGAAAACATCAAGATTTTCTTCAATATCTTTAGACATGTCAAGTCTAAATTTGAAAAATTTTTCAAGTAAGAACATTCTACTCGGTAGAGAGGTTTCAGTATAAAGCTCTTCAAGTATTAAAACAACAATAAATCTAACAATATAAATTAAATGAAAAAACAGAAACTGAATTTCAGATAAAAGAAGACTTACAGTAGCCAAACACTAGGAGAGTGTTCGGTCCTTACCCACCCACAACGGGATTTTGGAATGGTGGACTAAATAATTGACTGGTTAGACTGCCTGATGACCAGGTTTGACCAGCTGGCGTGCAACTCTCTCTCTGGTTTTTGTACGTTTCTGCTTCAAGCTTCCAGTAGCCCAAGTACACTTCCAGGTGCAATAGCAAGTAGCAACACCTCCAGCTAGTAGTTCAGCCCAAATCCGTGAAGCCAACTTCACGTGAAAGCCAACAACGACAAAAAACCTCAGCCAAGCACAAAAGCATCAACAGTTAGTCCTTACTCTTCCAGAATCAATTAGCACAAAAGGCCGCAGTTGTTCAGCCACCCTCCAAACTTCAACTCCAGTCGATGAATGGCTCCTGACTGCGAACCAAGCGACGAACGACGCCCTCCCTGCGACGGCAACCTCCGGCAAAGAGCTCTAAACTCCGTGACGGGAAGAGACTCCCAGTGAAGATGAACAGTGACCTTGAAATCGACAAACGATTCCCGGCGTGAAGGGTCTGGGCGAGTCACGAGCAGTCCTTAAGCGTTGATTCCCAGGCAGTCGGCAGCTCCAACGGCGACCTCCACCTTCGAGCTCCGTAATCGACTAACGACGGACGGGGTTTGGGCGGTAAGGTTCTAGCACCACCAAAAAAAAAAACCACGACTCAGATCTGGCAGATCTTCCAGAAGTTTCAACCGGCGGCGGACGGCGGCGGTCGGCGGAGGACGGCGGCGGTCGGCGGCGGACGGCGGCGGATGGCGGCGTACGTAGGAATTCAGCGAAATCGACGGCAGAGACAGCCCTGGCTCTGATACCACTGTTGTGGATCCGTTTCTGTCTTGCCGGATTCGGCTCAGGTCGCCGGAGATCGGTTTCCGGTAGTCTCCTTGTGCACACCAAGGCTAAGGGAGCAACAACCTATTCTACCTTCTCAACACTCCTCTTACTCAGCTTCACAAAGAAGGAGTTCTCACAGTCTATTCCAAAAAGCTTCAAGAGGTGGTGGATATATACAGCTAGAGCAAGGAAGAAGCAACTGTCGGTAGAGAACAATAGCACATGAAGTAGGATGCAGGGAAGTCTCATAATAAAGAAGATTTGGCTTATTAGCTCAAGGGATTGGACGGTACAAGGGACAACACAATCACACACCTCACTTATTTGATCTCACTTATTTGAGTTCAAATTCAAACGGGAGAAATAGACTTGGTACAAAACAAGTTTGGTAACTGGAGTAAGAGTAGTGGGTTGCTGAATAGGTTGTCAACTATTATTAATATACAAAGGCTATTTGGGCCAATAATATATTAACACATGTAGATAACAAAGGAAATTAAAGGTCGTATAGTTGAGGGTTTATTCCAATATCAGTCTAGAAAACAACTCTTAAATGACAGATAATCACATACTCCATATTAACAAAAATTAAAGCATTCACAACAACACTGTTATAATTTGTTACTGCCTCCGTAGCGTTAGGATCTTCTAACTTTCCATTTTTTTAAATAATCTTCTCATTTCAAAATCTTCTCATCATACGTTCAATAATTTTGAAAATAATACACTATTACACCTACTTTTTTGGATTTATCCTTTATTCCATCACACTATTTCATTATCTTTCTATCATATCCTCAATAATTAATACGGAGTATATCCTTTCAGTATTCGTAATCGGTAGAATCCTTTCACTTTCAAATTGGGGAGATCCTAACGTTACGGAGGTAGTATCTCATGAAAGATGGAAAGAAAAAGGTGGTACCTCTAATTGAGAGAAAGCCATTTCTGTCTCAACCTTCCACATCTCAGCTAATGATTTAATACCATAAGGTGGATCAGGTCGAAAGAAGGGACCATAAGTGTAAACATTTCCCAGGGCGCTTGCTTGGCTCTGCAGATGAAAGTGGCCTGAAGAAGTGAGATGCATAAGCTCTGAAAAATAATCTTGAGATTCCATGTATCCATCTTCTTCTTTATTTCCACTCATCTCTTCTTCACCAGCATTCTCCTCTTTTTTCCTCTGATCTTCATTTGTTGCAACAATTACATGGAATTTTTTGTCAGATTCTCGAGTGTCTATGTCGGTAATTATGGGCACTTGAACGTACAGAAATCCATTGGCTTGGTAGAAGGTGCGTAATGCCGTAAAGGCGGAGTTATGCATACGCATAATGCTTGTCATCTGCATTGATTATTGGTATCAAAAGATAGAGATTAGCCAAAGTGTCGTTTCCATAAGAAGTGAGAACATATCTAAAATCTTATGGCTCTAAATATATCAAAAATGAATTAAAGTGAATAAAAAATGCGATGATAATTTTGTAAATAAATCAAAGTTTCTCTTCTTTGCAAAAATGGACTTCTTATCTAAATGATCAAAAGTGGATGATTGAAAAAGTGTCTTAATACAACAGCGCACTTGAGATGATTAAAAGTGAAGTCGTTCACATTTCGTTGGAACTAGACCCACCCTTGGCTTGGACATTCAAAATCTATATAGTCTCTAGGTCTTAATAGTTAATAAGCTAGTACTCCGTATTAAACTAATTTGCCCATTACCTATTCAAGTAGCTAGTTAAGGCAATCCTTTTTTATTCTTTGATTTTGAGCATCACCTTTTTTTTTATCAAATTGTGTGAATTACCTAAAGAGTGGTGCTTCGTGTACACACTTTTTGTGCATATTTTGTTTACACCCTCCCTAGTTGTCTATTTATAAGGAAACTTCTTAATGCATGAATTGCCTGTGTAGACAGACAACTAGGGAATGTGCACACAATATGTACAAAAAGTGTGTACCAACAATGTTTTCCATTATCTAAATAGGATTAAAAGAGGATAAAACATGGAGAATTTTTTCGCCCCAGACCGTTGACCGCCGCCGGTCACCAGAGCTCCACAACCGCCACCGCCACCACTGGACTGCCACGCAACCGACGGTCTCCCCGATCGCCCTAGGGAACTAGGGGGAATTAATTAATTATTTAGATTAGGGGTATTAAGAGTAGAAAATTAATGTTTAGTCCTATTTGTGAAAGATTTAGGTTTTAGTCCTATTTTTGCAATTATGTTTCCATTTAGTCCTATTTAGGGTGATAACTATATCAAACTCCAATTCCATTTTAGCCATTCAGCCTAGGATTATCTCCAATGCAACAATATGCACAATGTACATGTGACATGTGAGAGATAGATATAGAAAAACAAATCATTTACATTTCACCCTCTTTCTTTATGCGGGTTTATATAATTTTGGTAATGTTTTCACCACAATATCTACATTTAGACATCCATCTTCACATTGCGAAGAAAAACTTAACCAGAACACATAAAACATTTCAAATAAGGAAGGATATATATTGCTCATTAAATTTATGTGTTACTTTTATCCCTCTCATGCCAAAGATACACCGTGCACATTATGACATTGGAGATGCTCTAAGTCTCAATAGAATTGCTAAATATCTAGCTAAATTTTAAATACGAATACCAATTTTGAATATTGTCAGAGAGGAATTAAATTTGATATAAGTGAATTGTCGAAAAATGGAATGAACAAATTTAGTTTGGTGAAATATACTCCCTCCATCTGACCTTGCCAATTTTTTTTTGTCCCAAAAATTATCACTTTTCTTTTAAAGGAAAGAATTTGTGGTTTTGTTTATTTCTCTTTTATCTGTACAAACCTCAATCACACTGTTTTTACTTTTATTATTTCACATCTAACATAAAGTTGGCAGTCTAACAAAACAAAGGTAATATGAAATAAGTAATATTTTTATGTACTTATAGCCTATTACAATTTTTGTTCCATATAAATATTACTACCTCCGTCCCATATTTATCTTCACTTTTCGCACTCGGATTATTTTTATTAAATAAAATTTACATATTCAGAAACTACATACATTAAAACCGCTACAAAGCCTGATAAAAAAAATTAAATTTGATAAAAGTTTGATATATAAAGTAAAAGATTAAGAGTAATTTGAGTTGACCGTGTGAATAGTAAATGGGAAGATAATTCAGGGACGGAGAGAGTAACATCTTTGATTGTAATGAGTTTCAAACATGTGACATTTTCAAAATGTCATAGTAATATACGAGGTAGATTCTATGGTACCCATATGATACAATATTGTTGTTCACATGAATCAATCAAAGTATTGTAGTTGAATTATTTAAATGAAAATTATTTGACTTTCAAAGAACGTTCTGTTTAATACATAGAACTATAGAAGTGTATTAAATTATAACCAAATCAGCAAAACCTGATTGCTTTGCTTCATTCTCATTAAAATTGTGATCATTCTACGGAAACCACATTCATTTTATGTTGGTGCTAAATGATGTGTTATGTGTACAAAAACAAATTATAATGCATTTGCCTACTACTCACGTGATCTTGATTATTTTTTTATGATTATTTTGAAATTTTAAATTTTAATATAATATCATAGTTATTAAGCTCAAACGACCAAGTCCAAACAAGTAATTAAGACTCCCGTTGTTTTTACGTGGACTTATTTCAATCCCAGACAAGACTAGACCAGACAATTTCTGACCAAATCAGATCAGATTTGACTTTCGACAAGTGTAAAATACACAAAGACGAGACATTTATCAGACCAAATTGGCTCAGACCAGACCAGACCAGACTAAATTAAAAAATTCAGTCCAAATTAAAACATTCTCAAAATTAAAAGAGCACACAAATTTGACTCAAAATTAAAAGAGCACACAAATTTGGAGATTGATATGTTCCAATCACTGACCTGTGCTGTTCTAGGTTGAAGGTGAGGATAATTCCTCAATACTGTCAAAGGCAAGGTTCTCCTTGTTAGTAGATACTCATTCTTGTCAACAGTCCCAAGATGCAAAATTTTATTTGCCAAGAGTTCAATATGGTGTTTCCCCTCAGTTGATGCCTTCTGCAATATACCCTCTACTACTATGCATGTTCCGGTGGGCATCACTTTTTCTGGACTTTCTAGCTTCGAGTCCACCAATACCTAAGATCAAGATACATGCATGATGCATCTCATAATATCTTTTGAAGAAAAAAAAATGCATGAAGCTAAGTGGCGTAGATAGGGGCCCAAACTGGGCCGGGCTGGTACAAAGTTTTTTTTTGGGAAAATTTTAATTAACACGGATTTTTACACTACTACTTAAAGCAATTTTTAAAATTGGGGTGGGCCAGAGCCTAACACGCCCCTAGCTCTGCCCATGAATTAGCTACCTAGAGTAAAGTTATTAACCTCCAACGTACTCCCTCCGTCCTCATATTAAATTCCTAGTTTGAATTTTACGGTATTTTAGGTGGAAGTTTGGCTCTTAATATCTAAAAATATATACTTATAATTTCTACTATAAATTAACATTGGAATAATATATATTTGTATATGGAGTATGAAATTAATTTTGTGTGAGAAAGTAGTAGGAGTATAAATTTAGAATAATTAACCATCAAAGTTTATAAAGTTTGATTCAAAAAGTGTAATTAGGAATTTAATTGGGGATGAATATGGAGGAAGTTTATAAATTAAAGATAATAGAAGTCTTGACTCTTTACTATATACTGTATACATACCTGAAGATTCTTCACAGAGGAACCGTCATTCACTTCCAACATTGAATATAGTGGTGGGGACAGGTTTTGCATATCAGACTTCTCTTTTATCTAAGAAATTAAAAACCCTTACTATAAAAACTAATTAAGAAGATAAAATTACGACAAAATAAATGTACTTAAAAGAAATCTGAAAAATCCACAACTACCTTCAACTCCTTGGAGATCTTAACCCACCCTCCAATCACTACTCTTTCACCAAAAAGTCCCACTCCATCATCATCCCTTTCAAATATAGTTTTCAAGACTAGCCTGTAAGTATACTTACTGCTAAGGCTGCTTGGTGTAATGTCACTCATTGATTCTAATGAACTCATTTTTATGATTTTTGTTTTTATAATTAAGGAAGATCAGAACAGACAGTAATTAAAGTGTAGGTGAAGGAGTTCCATATGGGTTGTAAATTTGCAATATATATACACGTTATAAGTTATAATAAGTATTTAGAGAATGCATATTTACTAGATGGATGCTTTGCTTGAAAAACAAATTGTCGAATTAAAGAAGTTACAGAATATATGCTTTTAGTAAGTTCAAAGAGGAAGGAAAGGGATTGTTATTAGGTCTAGCCATTAGAGTGATAGCTAGAGTTGGAAAAATGGATTTGGTAAAAAAGGGATGGCTATAATTGAAATTAAAGGATTTTGGGTCGTGCCCAAAAACCAAATCATGGAAAGGGTTTCGAAGTGGTAAAACTAGTCACAAATCCTCGAGTATTATACTTTTATTTATAAATAAGTAATATTTTTATTCTTTATTAGTTGTAACAATTTAGTTTGGTATGTTTGATTCTTTCCATTTTTAATTATATACCGACTACCGAGTATTATATTTTAATATATATAAAAAAATTATGTAAATTATTGTGAAATTTATTTCAAAGTAAAATTTTAAATATATTTCAAAGTAAATTTTTAAATATTTAAAGCTGATAATTAAATATATTAATGTTCAAAAGTATACATTAGTAAACATGAAAGTTAATTGTTGTTTTTTTGCGGAACTTTCTCACATAATTTAGTATCTGTTCTGTTAAATATCAACAATATTGATTGAGATGCATTTCAAACCTGCAAGTGACATCCTGTTTGGTAGTGCCTCAATGATGTCATCGAATCACCCATGTTGTAACTAAATAAAAACATATGGGTTTCAAAAATATTAAAAAAAACTGTAAATGTGACCAGGGGGTCCCCAATATGGATTTTGGAGGATTTCAATAGAGTTTAGAATTTCGAATTTAGGTGTACCCGACTTGGATTTCTGTAAAATCTATGAAAATAAAGGTGTCCTCAAACATTCCATGAATTTTTATTACGGTATTACTTATTTACATGGATTTTAATGGATTTTGGTAGATTTCTACATACAAAAACTAAAAACATTCCACCCCAATCTTGTAGGCTCCTTTCGGATTTCCAAATCCACACGATCATTTAAAATCCATCAAAGTCATAGTTGGGGACACCCCCTTAAAACATACCTAGTTATAGTTTTTCTTTATCTTCTCCAAAATAGGATGTGTCCGCTATTAAATCCCAATCGGCACTAATTTAGGGGTAAAACTTTGTTTAATTTCATTTATGAAATTAATTCATGCTTAACTATTTCTTTTAAAAATCAATCATGGAAATTATCAATGCAATGAACTCCCTTCAGGTTTGATATATTATCACTCAAACCCATGTACTATAAAAATGTACTCCTATCACCCTCCCAATCCTTATGATGGTTAAGTAACTTCTTATTTACGTTTAGAGAAAATTATAGACATATTTCCGTAACTTTTGATTGTGTCCGCTAGTAATGCTGTAATTTTATGTGAACAAATATTTGATCGGATAATTAATAAATTTGACCATATTAAAGACTCTTCCACCAAAAAATGATCAAAACTGACCTTGTCTAGATAGGTTGCTTTATGCCTTTGGATTTGAAAAATGACTGAAATGACAAACTGAATTAATTCCACATTTAGTTCATACCTTTCACTTTATCCACTTTTGGTACTTAACTAATGTTTCTTAACCATTTGTAGTTCTTTTCGGTGATTTTAACCACCAAAAACATTGACGGAAGAATCATATATAGGCGAAAAGCAATATTCATGTATAAAAAATTGTCATTAAAGGTTCACAAAGAAAATCCATGATCCTGAAGATCCCACGAACCGGGTCGCACTCACAACGTCCTTGGGTCTAGTGGGCTAAATTTCAAGCAATATGGAATTTCCACATTTGACAAATGCCCTTTATGAAGAAAACGGAAGAAGAGAAGTGGTTCCACCAAGCGATCTGGTAATACATTTTAATTATATATGTTCATCATATGCAATGCCCTTACTCAGATGAACATATATAATTATAATGTATTACCTGATCGCTTGGTGAACCACTTCTCTTCTTCCGGTTTCGTCATAGAGGGCATTCGTCAAATGTGGAAATTCCATATTGCTTGAAATATGAGCCCACCAGACCCAATTAATTATATATGTTCATCATATGCAATGCCCTTAGTCAGATGAACATATATAATTATAATGTATTACCTTATCGCTTGGTGAACCACTTCTCTTCTTCCGGTTTCGTCATAGAGGGCATTCGTCAAATGTGGAAATTCCATATTGCTTGAAATATGAGCCCACCAGACCCAAGGACGTTGTGAATGCGACCCGGTTCGCGGGATCTTCAGGATCATGGATTTTATTTGTGAACCTTTCTGGAAACTTCAATGACAATTGTTCAATGATTTCTTGGGGTGACAGCTCGATGAACGTGCGATGCTCTCCTTCGAGGAAAAAAGTTGTCTCCAACGCCTGGCTCATCGCAATGGCATAGCAGGATCCTACGTAGTACACACACCATAAAAAATGAAGTTTTTATAAAAGAAAACTATATACGTCTAATGTGAATTGAATAATAATCCTTCATGTCTACATAGGTGACAGAATTAAGTTCAAGTTTTGCATTGTCAATTGCCGTGACATGAAGAACTGCAAGTACACTCATTATGAGCTAGAGCCAACAGAAGATATGTGATCAATGACAGCGGGCAGGGTGATATAAGATCTTTCTCTCAGGCTGCTACAGATTTGAGCAGGGTGGGCTGCAACTTAAGTTAATAAGGTGGAAGGGAGTTTTTGTTCCCTGACCCTCTTTAGGAGTAATTAGGACAGTATCATGTTTGATAGACATCTCCTTTACATATGAGAATTTTCCTTTATTTCGTTAATAAAGGAAAATTTAATGAAGTGTTTGAAAACATGTGGGTACGTAAGCAAGTGTTTGAATTCCATCTTGGTAGGTAATGAAGTGTTTACCTTGACAATGCAATGGCAAAACTTTCTTCATCATCATTACCCAGTGCCGCAAAGGCTTCCACCTACGGTGGGGTAAGGGGGGGTCAGATGTACACAATCTTACCCTTGTACTAACGTTCAAAGAGATTGTTTCTGAATGCCCCATATTATGGCAAAACTTTCTTGTGTTATTAAATTATACTACGTTTATATAATGTATACAAAAAATAGAGAGAAAAGAAAACATGTAAAAGAAAACACCATTAATATGCTTATGTATGTGTCTGTGTATATCTTTATCTTGACAAACTAATAAGCGTGAATATGGGTAAGCCCATTTTAGGTATAAAAAATTTATTGGTGTAATAATAAAACTTACTTGGCATGTACTATTTGCGTAAGTGTTTGCAACTATTTCCGGGTTAATACATCTCCTTGCTAAACGTCGTTTATAGATTTGTTTGTATAGCACTATAGCCTCAACCACAGAAACCATGTATGCCGTTGTGTTTGATCGTTATTAGCTGTTGGACCAAAGTCTCCCGCAGATAGCCGCGTGTCTTGCATCCCTTTGTCTTCTTTGTCTTCTCTCCTGTAAGTTGTGATGTTCCTTTGTTTTGATGCTCGATGTTGATGATAACAATAAAAAAGTTATTTAATTTCATATGCACCTGCAAATTGATCGTCCTCCTCTGCATTAGAAATTATGGGAATTCAAACACACTCTTTCATTCTGTTCAGTTGGCAGACTTTGTTCCAATTCCCCATATTTGTGTTCTTGTTTTTATTCGGCTTTCTTTACTCAATCATACAATCTTGGGGTGAAAACTGTTCTCTCCAACGTACCGTGCTTGTATAGTTGTATGAAATCTTGTAGCGTTGCAGTTAATATAACAGTTTGCAGACCTTCCATTTTAGGTATTCTAATGTGGGAGATTTAAGTACTGAGATGTTTTTACAATTCTTTATCATTGACCTTTTCCCTAAGTGCTTTTGAAGTTCATATTATGATGCTCCATATAGGTTAATTTCAGAATGATGATTTTATGTATTTAAGCTGATGGTGTATTTAGGGTTTAATGCACCAAACCCCGCGGTGAAATGAAAATTCGGCGCATTAGCCCCCTGTGATTTAAAAAATGTGTCAAACCCCCTTGTGTTATAATAAATCATGCGCAAACCCCCTCCAAGAACAAATTTTACAATTTTGAAATTACTTTTTTTAATAATATGGTTGAATATATAAGTAAATTTGTCAAGATTTCTAAATTATACAAAAAAACTAACCATTTTTCATTTTTTTTTTGGAATTAAATTTGTTCTTGGAGGGGGTTTGGCGCATGATGAATTATAACACAGGGGGGTTTGACGCATTTTTTAAATCACAGAGGGCTGATGCGCCGAATTTTTATTTCACGAGGGGGTTCTGTGCATTAAACCCGGTGTATTTAGTTTACAATTTGGCTAACCTTCAATTTTACTCCTGCGTATTCTCTTGAAAGACTTTTATTGTCTTCTTTGGTAATGATAAAGCAATAGAATTTAGAATGTTTAGATTTATGGGATAAGATTCCTTACTAGTTACTACTAGTAAAAGTTTTCTTAAAATAGAAACACTAGAATCTTTAATAATATCATCATCTTACGTGTTTTTACCACTCATATCCTGAACTAAAATAGATAATAAAAGGATTGTTAATTTGTTATCTTTGACAGTAGTGTGGAAGAAGAATGTGTTTTGTTCATCATAAAAGAGGAGCCATTTCTTATTCCTTTTTGGTTAAAAACAAAATTCACAACAGCAGGTTAATGGTTGAGCTTAGCATAGGCTTTATGGAGTTCAATCCTAATTTTTCGACTCCCCTTCTCTGCATAGTTAAACTCATTAAGTTTTACCAATTCTACCAACTTGCTGACTTTCTCAATATGTTTCAAGAGATATTGTTCTACCAGGTCTTCAAATCTTTTAAACCCTTTTAGGTTTAAACATAAAGCCATACAAAGAAGTACAATTTGGCAACATTGGTTCATCTTAATGATTTGATGTTAGTTGTGGCAGAACCATGATATTTGATGAAGGCTTGGTTTTGAC